GGCAGTGTCACTGGCCCTCATATGTGGGATCCGAACCGGGGCCCTCTGGCATCCCAAGCCAGTTCTTAACCATCGCGCCACTCGGCCGGCCCAGGACATTTTTAGAGTCAGAAGCCTTACTGTGAGGAGCAGATCTCAAGTCTCTGTTACCCTTTGGAGTTCTTACTTGGCTATAGTTGCACGCAGTAAGAATAAATGTTGATGGTAGAAAAGTCAGTACTAGGAGTTAAGAAAAAAGGGGAGGTGATTATTTGAACAATGTGAAAACAAAATTTGTCAGCTGTAAAGGTTATAAATTTTCTAAATCTCTGTGATCCCATAAAAAATTAGAAATCTCATGTGTCTCAATGAGACATGACAATTTTTTTCAGTGCTGAATTAAAGTTCTTTTCAGGAAACAGTGTTAAGCATGATAGGAATGTTTAATTTTATAATGACTACAATGAAACCTATAAAAAGGAATTATAACAACTAGCCCATCTGAGAATCTGTATACTTGAAATAGGAATAAAACCTTCCTTGCCAGATTTTCTGGCATTAATAGCTCAGTTCTATTTTAATGAAAGCTTAAGGCTTTCTTTGTAAGGGTTTGCAGGTTAAAAATGGACCTTTGCTTTTTGTTTTTATTTGTTTTAGATTTTTACAAAGAGTATCCAATTACGGGCTAAGAGGTCATTTATTATATTACCAAACTTTCCTACAACACATTAGGACTAGCCTAGATCACGTTATGTAGGCTACCTTATACATAAACACATCAATCAATTTTATAAATAACAGTTGTTACTTTAAGCTGAAAAGCATAAAAGCTTTCTTATAAGGAAATACATATTTAAAAATTTCTAGTATCGCACTGATATGCAAGAATCTCTCAAAGGACAGCAATACTACCAATGCTGGAAGGCCACGTGCAGCTTCCAGATAGCATCTGTACATCCAGCAGCTGCAGGAAGTTCAGGCTCAATGATCCCTAAAGTGCTGATTGTAATGTTGCTGGGACAGAAATGAGGTGCTGAGGACCCAGATGCTGTGATCATAACCTCAGGATTTTGTATCTTTAAGATAGGAGCCAAACTATATCCTTGTTGAACTTTTTGGAATAGGGCTATTGTAATAAAAACACAGGTGGCATTAGTTTCAAAGAGAGGTTAAGAATGGAGTACATAACCAGTCTAGTTTGTGCTTGTTTTCTTTATAAACACATTATATGTAATATCTTATAAACAACTTTATAGTGGACAATGTTGGGTTTCCTCCAGTACCCAACCTACCTTAACTTGGTGAAATTGAGGTGGGATTGATTCTCATACCCCTCACCACTGTGACTGGTTTGGGATGGGTGTGAGACCTGACATTGGACTAATTGGAGGGAAACTCAGGTCTCTGGTTCATTGGTTGCAGGTATCCATATGTTATATGATGAGAGGACGGTAACTGCCACAGCCATGCCACCATAAGTTAGTATGAGGACAATATAGGGAAGATGCAGACAATCCAGAGCGGTGGAGTTTGAAACATGCTTTATATCTGTATTTTACAGTTTTGAGAAACAAACCATTCCCTTTATTGTTTAAGCTAGTTTGAATTGAGACTGCTGTTATTAGCACTCAGGAGTCCTTACCACTATATATGGCATATGCAAAAACATTGAGAAAAAGTTGCCTAAGGTAATTACAACTATATATTTTATAAAATTTCACTTTTTTAATATTCTTGTATTTCCTAGTATTGCCCTGTCAAACCTCTAACTTGTTAACCTCTAACTTATCCTCATTTCTCCTTGATAGAAGGCAACACTTACTAAGTCACTCTTCTGAGTTTACCTCTTCTCATTACATGGCCACATTTTATAGGCACGGAAACTGAGTCTTGAACCCAGTTCCATCTGATTTCAAAGCCTGTACCCCCAGCTATTCCCTCTAGTGCAAGTGTCAGCAAACTAGGGCTTTGTAGGCCAAGTGGTCTCTGTAGTAACAACTCAACTTTGCTATTATAATACAAAAGCTGCCACAGACAATAAATAAACAAATTGGCATGGCTGTATGCCAAGGAAATGTTTTATGGGTATTGTACTTGAATGTCATATATTTTCAAATGTCATGAATGACTATTCTTTTCATTCTTAAAAGCTTTTTAAAATTATAAAATTCATTCCTAGCTCATGGGCTATACACAAAGAGAGGCAGCAGGTCAACAACTCCTGCTCTATTGTTATAAATAAACCCGTTTTCTAGATTATGTCTGGGTGCCTAATCTCCACTTCTCTGCTTAAACCCAGAGAAGGGAATGGTCAGATTCCTACTGAGAAAGGGAATGGTCAGATTACTATTTTTAAAAGATCATCTGGTTGTCTCCAACGTTCCCAAATATAAATCAATTTCTTGAATAAACCCTTTATTTGGATGAAGCTTCTCTGTCCCAAACACTGGCTCCAAAACAACAAAAAACACTTTAAAAAAATAACTGTTTCAAACATTCTGAGGAAACATTTATGAATTTTTCAGATGGGCATATATATCTGTTAAATAATTTGTCCTTCCAATTGCCTTTTATACAACTCCTGAAAGCTACCCTAGTTGCTATAGATTTACAGACCAAGCGTATTTACTGATAGAAATCCTAAAAAGTACACTTCAAAAACATTCTTAGCATTGTTTCTTGAACATATAAGGTCAATAGAAAATATTGGCATTGTAGGTGGGGGCTTGGAAGTGAGGTAGTCCTGAGTTTGAATCTCAATTTAGTCACTTACTTGCTGTAATCCTAAAATTATTTAACCTTTCTAAACCTTGGTTTCTTCATCTGTAAAATGGGGATAATGTATATAAATAAAATAGACTGAGCATGCAACAGAAATTATTGTTAATTTACAGTGGTATTGCATAGCATAGCTCAGAGGTTAGAAACGTGGGTTTTCACTTGGGTTAGAGGCCTGGGTTGAATTTTGCTCTACTATCTAGTAACATTTCAGTTTTCTTGTGGCAGTGGCCCTAGACAAAGGACTTCTCAGAGTATGTGGTCACTAAGGATTTTGCACGGGCTTCAGACAAAGACATTCCTGGACTATGTGGTCAGCAAGACCTCTGTGTTTAATATTTCCAAATTCCTACCTCACCCAGGAGCCAGTCAGGAGCTGGCACAATGACCACATGTTCTAATAATAAATCTTAGCTGCCAATCTAAAAACTTCAGGGTATTATAGCCCCGAGTCCCACCTGAATTGGGGCTCCGCCTCTGGATGTGAATCCGCTGAGCCAGTGCCGGCCTTAGTAAAAGTTGCTTCCCACGCCTTGGTGTCCTGTCTCTTTGTCTGGGTTCCCCACAACATTCTCACCTAAGGTTCGTTTTGAGAATTATATAATAGTTGGGAGAATTAAATAAGGCCATGCATGTACAATATGTAATTTGCTTGGTAAAATTTGCATGGTAAAACTAAGGCAAGATACCTGAACAAATAATTTTTCAATAATAAAAATGTTTGGGTCCATATACAAACTACTTGTGGATACAGACACAGCTCATAAATAAAAGACAGCTGATGGAAACTTTTTCTTTAATGAGGGCATAGAGGGCATTTTCCCTTCTTCAGCAAAAAAAATTATATCAATGTTCTCAATGGTATCAATGGGAAGTTATTCTGTGCTCCAATTTAGAGAAGACTGAACTGGTGCATTCATATTAGTAATACCCATAATAATGGAGAAAAAATGAGTAGGAAAGATAAATATAAATCACAAGAATAAAGCCTAATTACTTTGCAAATCCAAAATGCAGTCATACTCATGTCCAGTATA